TTTTATTTACAGACTTCCATGGAGTCATGTTTAACCGCCATGTTTCTACAGTAGCCCAGAACGGAAAAACCAAACAATGGCTCGAGAGGGCCTTTAGTGTTATTCACAGCGTAGTTTCTCCTACACACTTGGAACAGGAGGGTGAAGCAAGGGCATTGTAATCAGCAGCTGCACTGCTGGATGCCACTAAATCCTACACACTGGTCCTTTAAGCGCTGCCTGAAATGTAAATGATGTTTTCATAGAGGGAAACCCTGACATTTCCTCCAACCAGCACATATTTTGTGAATAAATTGACAGAATTTGCACCTCAGTTAAATAAAAATGGGTTTTTGCATTCTTTCCAATGCAAGTAATGGGCACTGCTGGTCTCAAGCTGGCTAGTTTGCAAACTGTTGCTGAGGAAGAAAATGTGAAAACCTTTTTCCTCCGAAGGTAAAAAGTATCTGGTGTAAATGAAAAAGTAACAACCTCGTTTTAAGCTGCCAAGGTTCCTCCGTCAATCTGCAAGTCCGGTTTCACCTGCTTTTCAAAAACGGACTAAAAGGAAAGTCGTTTGCCATCATTGCAGATTGATCTGTATAGTTAAATGAAGTTTAGTAAATACGTAAATTTTATGTTGGCTCGAGCTGTGACATGATGACTTCACCCATTTGCTTTGATTGCACTTGTGATTGATAGTGTTATAATGCCAAGCAGTCTGGGCTCCTAAGCATGATCAGTCATTCACTCAATTATTCAAATTAAGCATTGGTATTACAACTGCAGCCTTAACCTCTAATGTCTTGCTTTACCACTGCTATAAATCAAACTCACCTCTTGCCTCCAAAACATTTTGAAAGCGAGGAACATGCTTTATGCTTTTATAAAACAGTTATTTTTCCATGTGACCTGAACCCACAGCTGCTGCAAAAGCCAAACTTAAGACAACAAAACAATCAGAAAGTTGCTGAGAAGATATCCTACAAAGTTTTGTACAGCTGCACAGTCCTGCACAATATTACCTGAATTATTCAGGGTCACTCAAACTCATATTCTCAATGCACAGTCAGAAGTTGGTGTTTTAAACAACTGTGGACCTGAATTAATGCCTCTACAACCCACTGTCTGTGCCTTTAGTCCTTACAAAGCAATTAGAATAATCAGGCTTTATTCATTTTTTATTTCCACTTTCCAAAGATGTCAAAGACAAAAATAGTAGTGATAAATGAACTGAAATAAGAAAAAGTCAAAACCAAAGATTAAACCAAACAAACAGACACAAATTCACACACTGTACTGTCAACAAAAAACTTGGCAGCACGAACAACAGAAAGCCAACACAGTGAAGCGAGGTTGATATTGACACCAAAGCAGGGAGTGTTGTGTTTAATTTTAAATGAAAGGAGAAACTTCACGGTCTCGGTGGCAGTAAAGTCAAAGCAACAGAGAAATGCCTCTGGGGTTTAAATATATCACTCTGTATAACATTAATATGTACGCTGCTCAACAGTTCAAGGCAATATACATATGTACAGTATGCGTGACATATAACATACATTTCTTACCTTTATAATTCAGAGTATGTTTTAAGAGCAGCAGGTTTTTACATAAAACACAAACACACTTAAATACATAGGACGAGATAAAAACACACCACGAACTGAGGATTTGAAGCACTTTACACATAGGGCCTGACAGGAAAGGACTTAAAGAAGAGCGAGAGAGAAAAGAGGAGCAGCCTATTTGAAAGGAGGAATCCAATCAACTTTGCAGCCGTATCTCTCACATAGGCTTTAAAGTCAGACAAGAGTCTTAATTTTTTTATCTTTTTGCAGACATATCCGACCAGTAGTGGCCGATACCAGGAAGGATTTCTCTCTCATTTCAATGAGGGCCACAGGGAAGATCAATCGCTAAAAATAATGGGATCTCAAACTGCCATGCCCTTGTTCTCTCTACAAAAACCTGAATATGTACTGTAGTGAGTTTACTAAGGAGTGTTTTGTAGATAATAATGTAGCAGTGATTGAGCAGAAATAGCTCTAACATACGATATAATGTGCAATGAGTATGAGCTTAAAGGATGAGGGTGGTGGTATTGTTTTTCTTACTGATCAACAAATCCCACGGAAATGTCAATGAATTGATCTTTCCTGTGTAGCCAAAGCTGTGTGATACATATTATTCCTCTGTGTCACAAAGTCATAAACTATTAAAACTACATCAATCCAAGCCGCACTATTGCACATGTTCTTTTATTAGCGTTAACTCAGGCGCTGTAGTTTGTTACACTTGAGCATTGAGAGTGAATTAATTCACTGTTGAAATTATAATATATGCAACTTTAAAGGAAACAAAAAACTGCAGTGCCCAGGAAATTGTTTCACCCTTTAGAGAATAAAATAAAACTATATTTTTGTAAATTGTTTTTAAATATTTATGTGCCTCAGACAGGGTAGGGGAGTCAGCAAGTAATGACAGATGGACTATCAAATTGTTTGTTTTAGTCTTTTCATGAGATATCTTGACAATAAGAAACATATACAAGTCCCAGTACAACACAGAACCCAGGCTTTGGTTAAAAAAAAAAAAATTTAAAAAACGGAGGAAAAAAAAAAAGCTGCAAATTGATAATAAAGTAAGCTGCAAGTGAAAATAAAAAGGTTGCAGCAGCTGATTTCTATTGTGCCTCAAAGAAAAGATCTAAATACAACTTCAGTTTGTCTTCAGTAAGTGGTTGGAGAGGAAATCATGAATCACAGTCCCCAAATGCTCTTGAGTGGTTACAAAGTACAGACAATTAACTTAAAGGAAAATGAATTGTCAACAACTATATTTACATTTTATCAAATAAAGTCTTGATCACTAAAAGCTGAACTAATTTACATTATCACTTATGTATATTTGTATATATAACAATGGATAAGATGACAGATATACGCCTGCTCCACAAAGTATTTTAGTGTCTTTCTACAAGCTACAAGCTGGTGAAGATTGTGGAGTATTTAGGAGTTAAAGTGCAGATATTTCCCTCAGGAGGTGATAGAAACCAAAGCAAATAAAAAAAGAGTGTGAATATCAGACTTCTCCAGAAACTAGACTCCAAATTAATGTAGAGTAAAAGTTGCTCTGTTCCTGTGTGTAGATTGGAAACCAACATGT